ACTGGGGGAGTTATGGACTAAGGGGTCCTTGGCGAGCCGGCCCATTGGACGCGGGCCGGACTGGTGAAGTCGTATAACGATAGAAGACCCTTGATCGAATAAGGAAACTTCAGAGTCGTGGTGTGCCCTCCAAGCCAAGAATAGGCAGGATCTTCCTCTTTTCGTAACTAATGACGTGTAACCCTAACCCTGCCGGTGTCTATATAAACTGAGGGGCGTATTCTTTATGGCCAGAGCTTCATATATCACCTCATCACCTTAGGTTTTAGCTCATGTTGATCTCGAGGTAGATCCACTCCGTAATCATATACACATCCAATATAATCAAGCAGAACGTAGGGTATTACCTCTTCGAGAGGGCCCGAACCTGGGTAACCACCATGTTCATCGTCCCTTGTTCCCCATTGATCCCAGATCCACAGCTCGGGACCCCCTACCCCGAGGTCTGCCGGTTTTGACACCGACAAGATGCCTCCCTATGTTCACGTAAATGCATATCCATGATGGGACAGGTGTGAATACAAGGGCACATTCTCCATATTATTATAAACCATCTCACCAATATTATGCAGCTCTAAGAAGACCAACATTCACTGAGCAGTCATATGTTCAAGACCGTTTCAATAAAAAAGAATCGGTCCGGAGCACAAGGAAGAATAACGAGGTGGTTGAGCAAGTCTACCGCGTCAAAAGAGATGGTCGTAAGAGTGCCACTTTAGATATGATATCAAACGAAAAAGAGCCAATTCAAGTATTGGCATTGGCTACATAAGGCAACTAAGCAAGTCAACCAAGTGCCAAATCTGAAGGGAGGTTGAGAGTGCAGAAGGTAAAACAAGAATTTCCATTACTTCAAACAAAATCGTAGCCGGGGTGCCCACTCGGCTTATCGTATTGGCAAAAGAAGAAACTGTAAAAGCTTAGTGCACAAGAACTTGAAAAGAGAAACATGGCATGGGTTCCCAAAGGAGGCACTCAAAACAAGAATGATGTGCAAGCTTCTATTACAAGAAGTACATCAAAGGTGAAGAAAGAGCAAAGTGAGCGCTATGAACAACCAAGAGGAAGGTTTCAACATCTTTCGTCCACACATTATCCACATTCTCCAACTATGCCATTGATGTTGATGCCATGGAATGCATCCGCAAGTATGATTGGTTGCCCTTCATGGGTTTATTTTGATCCATGGATGCAATATAATTTCCTACATCATGCAAGGGTATTATCACATCATCATACATTCCATTAGCTACACTTTTGTTGCTAATCTAAATGGTCGATACACAATTATCGCCCTAAGAGTAAAGATGGCCGATATATACTTGTCGTCCTAAAAAAATGGAAATGGCCGATGGAGTGTTGACATCGTGCTTAGAACAAACTCCGTGCAAATTATTTTTCGGCACACAAGTTTTGCCGAAAACAGGGGGCATGTGTTGACACCAGGGCATGTGTTGACACCAGATTTTGGCACGGTCAAAAACTTAATTAAGTTGGTCTCAAATGGAGAAGTGATGTACATAAAAAAGTTCCGTATTGTTGACATGAACATCTTTAAAGTTTGGGCCATCACCATCCGATCTCATCTCAAGGGCCGAAGTCGTTCTTGAAGTATTAGGATTTTGTATGCAGATTACTGTTCAGCCAATTAGGACTCCAAGACAGCCTCATATGAGAAACATTTATACAAAGATTGTCTTCGTCTTGTCGAAACGATCGATTTTGATATAATAATCATCTCATTCCGAGGTCGTGTGCGAAAAATTGGAGCCAGTGCACTGCGGACCTATCATAAGTGAAAACTGGCTCGGGGCATCAGACACCCGTGTGGGTGATGTCTGATGGTTTGCGCGAGCGATTCCGTCCTCAATATAGCCTCTAATCAAAAAATGTTCAACACGAAAGTTGTTCGTCTTGTCCAAACGATTAAATATGCTTTTGGGCCCATCTTCATCCGAAGTCGTTTGTGGCCTATGAGAGTCAAACCGAATTGATGTCTCAAACTTGCCTAAATCCGAGTTCGGTTAATTTTGGAAAGATTTGTACGGGATTGGAGTCCTTTTCTCCACCTCATAAATAGATGAGAGGTGACGGCCGATTGAACAACACACAATCGAACAAATCAATCTACTACCTTTTCGTGTACATCTACTTTTTATCCCTTTCCCTTGTATCTTCTTGTCGTTCTTCAAGATTGGAGGGAGCGAATCCATGAGGTTCTAGGGGCGATCAGGTCGACTTAGGACAGCCCATAGCCGCCGCGTGCCCTGACGGGGTCCCTCCCGGGCGTGTGCGGTTTCGGGTTTACAAAAGCGCTCGCCGGACTTTTTGTGTACCGCGCTTCCTGGCGGGTCTCCTTCGATGTGAGCCGCGATGCATCACTCCCGCGTCAAGGGTACATGGTTACGTGTTGGTGTGCGAACACCGGCATAAATCATGGATTATTAGGATATTAATTAGCCCTTAACAATACCGTATATGGGCACTTATTCCCTCGTGTAAGACACACGTAACTTGCTAGTCTATAGAGATGTTGAGATGCAAAAGGAGAAACAAGAGGTAGGTACTTCAAAGGATTTTGATGTAACTTTTGAATTTATCAATTATTTTAGCCGTCACGTGTCTTGTACAATAAAGCCTTGGAGTAAGATTTCTAATATACTAGTTTATTTACTTCAAAAGTAGATATAAACCCTTCTTAAAAATAAAAATGACGGTAATCGAGTACCAATGCAAGTCTAGAGTTTGAACTCTAATGAACTGGTTCCATCATAAAGAATAGAGCCATCCAAACTAGGCTCAGATCGCGCGCGCTACCTGTTACTAACAGGTACTCCCTCCGTCTCGAATTACTTGTCTTAAAATTTTCTAGATACATATGTACGTACTTTTTATTATTTCTGTTGTTTCTTGTATTGCCATAATTAAAGATAAATAGATCGAAAGTTTTTCCGCAAATTTTATTTTGGGACGGAGGTAATATTACACGTTAGCATGTTACATCCAGACGAACCAATCTGTGGTTGGATGGTTAGATGGACTGTGGTATCCCAGCCCACCAGAGTTCAAATCCTGGTGCTCGCATTTATTCCTGGATTTATTTTAGGATTTTCGACGATGCGCATTCAGTGGGAGGAGACGTTCCCGTCGAAGGTGTCTACGGCGACTTCGTAAATTTCAAGATGATATGCCGGCTCGGTCTTTCAGAGATGCTCATAGGGGTAGGGTGTGCGTGTGTGTTCATAGGGGTGAGTGTATACGCGTGTATATGAGCGCTTGTGTTTGTACTGTGTTCCAAAAAAGAAAAAAGCATGTTACACCCAGTCACCCAGATGGCCAAATGTGAGACGTGTAAGATAGAATTTTTTGGGGGGAACGACGTGTAAGATAGATAGCCACGCCATTCATCTTCTTCTTCATGCTTCTTTTACTACGGCTTGTTTCTCCGGCGCAGCTGATGGGTGGATAAGAAGCAAACTGATGGAGCAGCTTTCACGTCATACACCGTGTGCCGACGTGCACGTGCGGTCCGGCCGAAGATTACATCTAGTCTTCGAGCAACCCTTGTGTTCTTACCCGATGACACCATCGCAACCTCTCGAGTGCATGGACCAGCGCGTAGCTCTCGTCTCTAGCCTGGCATGCCTGTCGACCCGCCAATGCCAGCCACTTAACCGTTGAAACGCCGGTATCATATTCAGCACTCCACAAATGAGAGGCTCCCGGTGTCCTCTACGTCTCTTCGGTAAAAGCATGGCAGCGCCGCGCGCATGGCTCCAAAGTCCAAGCGCGCGCAGGGCATACGGCACTGCCCGTGTTAATCGTCGTGCACCCTACAACGCGTACAAGGGGGGTCGCCCATGTGGCCGAGCGGGCCCGGCCCACTCCCAAGGCGACACGTACGCCCATATCCACGTGGCGACTGGGTCTACGGCTCTCGGCGCATGCATCCGCTCCGCTCTAGTCGATCATCATGCATGCATGCAGGCAGGGCAGGGCCAAAGTTGCCAACAGATAACGATCCGGCACGTACGTGCGTGCGCGGCATCGATTGACGCTCTGATTCGTGGGCTTTGGGACCCATGCATGGCCTGCCTGGAGCATCAATTATGGCCGACATTCATTACTAACGAGCCTTAAATTTGTCGCGGAGAAAAGCTGGTGTGCAATCCTCGACGTTCGTCGTGTGATCTAGACACATGTACGTCTATGTGCATCTCGCGCCAGCCAAAAGCAATTTCAGGATATCGCTGACACAGCGGATGTTACTAACACGTACTCCCTCCGTAAAGAAATATAAAAGCATTTAGATCACTAAAATAGTATTCTAAATGCTTTTATATTTGTTTACAGAGGGAGTACTCCTCTAAAGATGTCAACCAGGATGAGATAATCCAACATGTGTGACTAGACCAACTTCCATATGGAGATTGGACAAACACTTCCTATTAATAGCTCCTTCAGAGCCAGATTAGAGAACAAATTGCCAAGAAACACTTCTATAGTTTCCGGGCGCGGCACGGATAAGACTTTCTGATCATGTAGGACTGAATTGCTGCTTTTCTTATCCAGAAAGAAAATCACTAGGTCCACTACGTTAACAGCTGCCAATAGCAACGCGCCAGCACCCCCCGAAATCCTGTTAACCACACAAAACACCTACGTACGTGGCGGTTTGACACCGCGAAGAGGTTTGGGACCCAGCTGGCAGTGGCACGGCGGAGATATCATCCACGTAGCAATCCAAAACGTCAAGGGTGAAACGGTCATTCCATAAGACGGCCTTATCCACCTCCTCCACTTTCTGCTCTCGTCCTTCCGGCTCGTATAAACCCCAGCCTAACCACCAGCGCACGCCTTCCTTCCTACCTTCTACCCGCCGCGGTTCCGCAGGTCTTCAACTTCCTCGCCTCCTTGCGCAATCTGCTTCACGTTTCCCCTCACCGCTCCATTCGCGCTGCACGTTTGCACGGCGAGCAGGCAAGTACGGCACGGCTGCAATGGCGAGGAGCACGCGGTCGGTGGCGACAGAGCGCGCCTACCACCACTTCGCGCCGGCGTCGACGCGTGGCCTCACGGGGTACCCGGCCACGGCAGGCGGCCCCGTCACGGCCGACGAGTTCGACGAGTCAGACGTCTGGGGGTCGTTCAACCCGGCAGAGGAGGCCGAACAACCGGCAAGGTCGGGTGCCGAGCTTCCCCGGGCCCGTGCAGTCCCGGCTGCCCGTCCTGTGAGGAAGACGAAGCCGGTGGGCGGGGGCGGCACCGCGCACGGGTCGCTACCCGTGGCCATACCGGACTGGGCCAAGATCCTTGGGGATGAGTACCAGGGGCACCAGGCCGGGGACTGGGAGCTAGACGACGCGGACGACGAGGACGTCGAGGGCGCCTCGGTGGTGCCGCCGCACGAGCTGGCGTGGCGGCGCCGGGCCGCATCGCTGTCTGTGAACGACGGGATGGGGGTCGGCAGGATGCTCAAGGTCCGAGACGCGGTCTGGAAGAAGACAGGGTTCCAGGCCTGAGGCGCTCGGGCCGGCGTCGTCGCCCGCCACTACTAGCTGTTTTCTTTTGACAGATCGATTCGGATAAAGCTAGCTACTAGCGCTTCTAGAAGTTGGTTGTTTTGACAGAGCTTTGGCCTCCGGGGTAGAGAGAGGAGTGGAAACTGATGAGTGATCATAGTTCTTCGATTGTTCGTTCCTGCTGTGCAGTGTTTTCCGGAGAGAACGCGGAATTTTTGTGTGTAGCACCACGCAAGGGATAGATCAGCTACTGCTAATTGTGCTTACAGCAGCAAAATGATTTGTGGAGAAGTTGATCAGTGGGCGTCTGGGCGACTTTTTCTTCGAGCGTGTTGTCCTTATCTGCGCATCAGCACAGCCATCATCGGTGATTGCCAAATTTCACCAACCACATAAGCGAATATGCCAAAAGCTGTGCTGCACCAACTGATTGGATGAAACAACTGACACTTGTTATACTACTATCAGCGAGGAAATACGCGGACCAAAAAGTCACGCCAATGATGCTCTCGTACCAGCGAAATTTTCTGGCCGGCTTACTGAACGTGTACGTTATTGCCCTGTACCACAACAGTGCAGTGGATGGACTGTCGTTGCCCGTTCACTCAGCAGTGGACTTTCGGGGCCACGTACAAAACTGCCTCAAAACAAAAAACTAAAGTAACAGTCTTAAGGTCAAGTCATAAAATTTCAGCAATAGGATTAATCGAACGGCTCCCGTGCCTTCTTCTACCTTCCGTCATCTCCTCGCGGCGGATAATTCCTAACGTGCCCCTGTAATTATGTTAGCATACAATAGTGGGTAATCGATCTAGAGTGGCTCTCTGAAGTAGTAGCTCATACAAGATGGATTACAAGGAGCGATTGCCCGCAAATTGGTGAAGAAAATGGAAGGGGAAAGTAGCAGGTAGCCGCCGCCGTTGCCTTTTCTGATCCTCTAGATGCCCGTCTCGCTGGCTGCCCGAGGTTAAGTATGAGCCAGCTACCGGGTCCACTCGTCAGCGGGTTCGGTCGGCGCTGGCGAGTGGGTCGCGGTGCTCCTGCAGGTGGGGTGGTCTTGCCAGGGACCGTGACATCCCCCCTTCTTGCGAAGAGGCTTGCCCCCAAGCATCTGCGTCCGGAAATCGAGCTTGCAGTTCAGCTAGGTCTTCCCAAGTATCTTCGACAACTTCATGGTTAGACCATCGGATGAGTCCCTGCTCGATCATGCTCCCGCGTCTTTTGCGCCAACGACGCTGTGGAACTGCGTCTGTTACTACCGGAATGTCAGTGTCAGTTGGTAATTCTGTAGAAGCTTGTGTACCTGGAAGCAAGGCGCGACGTAGCTGGGACACATGGAAGATAGGATGCACTTGAGATGAAGCTGGGAGTTGCAACTCGTATGCAACGTCGTTGATGCGATGACTGATCTTGTATGGTCCGAAGAAACGAAAAGCCATCTTGTGGCATGCTCGTTTCGCCACTGAAGTCTGTATATATGGCTGTAACTTCAGAAAGACGTGGTCTCCAACAACAAACACTCTGTGGGTGCGCTTCTTGTCAGCTTGGGTCTTCATGTACTGCTTTGCACGATGAAGGTGTTGTTGTAAAGCTTGCTGCACCTCTGCTCTCTCGTCCAGCCATGTGTGAATAGAGGGAACCGATATTGCATTCGTTGGTGTGATGCCCCAGTGGCGCGGTTCTCGTCCATACATAGCCTTGAATGGGGACATGCCAATGGAAGAATGTGGAGCAACATTGTACCAGAATTGTGCTAATGGTAGCCAGTAACTCGATCTCTTGGGGCATGCTTGAGTGAAACACCCGAGGAAGGTCTCGAGACATGATTCACACGCTCTGTTTCCCCGCCCGTCTGCGGGTGATTGGCTAGCTCATGCGTAATTCAGATACGGCATAGGTGAACATTTCTTTCCAAAAGTGACTAGTGAAAACAAGATCACAATCTGAAATAATTGCCCCTGGGAAACCATGCAATTTGTAGATGTGTATCATGTAGAGAAGGGCCAACTTAGCTGCTGTGTATGGGTGCACCAAAGGCAAGAAATGGGCGAATTTAGTGAATTTGTCCACAATGACCCAGATGCAGTTGTTGTGCCCTGATTGCGGTAACCCGTCAACGAAGTCCATGGATATGAATTCCCATGATTCTGTTGGTACCGGTAATGGATCCAAGAGGTCTAGGTAGTTGATGCGTTCTGCTTGGCCTGTTGGCAAATTTGGCAACACTGGGCAAACTGCTTAATACGCATCTTCCTCTTAGGTCACGCAAACAACTGATGCATGCGCTTGTAAGTTACGGGAAATCCAGAATGCCCCCCCCCCCATTGGGCTGTTGTGGAATGAAGAAATGATATGTTGCTACATTGCAATGCTTCCTCCTAACCAGATTCTGTCCTAGAAGCCAAGAATACCTTGTACTAGACTGAAGCGGCCCTTAGAATCCGGAGCAACTGCAAGTTGTGTCAAAAGTTTCTGAGCCTGGGGATTGGAGTTGTAGTTGTTGAAGATGTCCTCGAGCCAAGCGGGCTGCACAGAAGAGATAGCCGTGAGACGCTCAAGAGGGGTCGATCGAGACAATTCATCTATGCGGTATTATCTGTGCTTTTCTTGTAATGGATGCGGTATTGGAGGCCCAGAAGTGTGACGCCCTCGATTCAATCGTACACTAATCATACACGCAAATGTGTACGATCAAGATCAAGGACTCACGGGAAGATATCACAACACAACTCTAGACACAAATTAAAATAATACAAACTTTATATTACAAGCCAGGGGCCTCGAGGGCTCGAATACATCAGCTTGAATACAAACGAGTCAGCGGAAGCAACAATATCTGAGTACAGACATGAGTTAAACAAGTTTGCCTTAAGAAGGCTAGCACAAAAGCATCTACGATCGAAAAGGCAAGGCCTCCTGCCTGGGAGCCTCCTAACTACTCCTGGTCGTCGGCGTCTGTCACGTGGTAGTAGGCACCCTCGGGGTAGCAGCAGTCGTCAAAGGTGGCATCTGGCTCCTGGACTTCACCATCTGGTTGCAACAACCAGAAAGAAGAAGAAGGGGGAAAAGGGGGAGCAAAGCAACCGTGAGTACTCATCCAAAGTACTCGCAAGCAAGGATCTACACTACATATGCAACATTATCAAAGGAAGGCTGTATATGTGGACTGGGCTGCAGAAAAGCCAGAATAGAGAGAAGGTCTAGTCCTATCGAAGACTAGCATCTTCTAGAAACCACCATCTTGCAGCAAACAGGAGGGAGTAGAGTAGCATAAAGTAAAGTAGTAGTAGTGTTATCAACCTCGGCCAGAGATCCTTTCTCGACTCCCTGCGAGAAAGCAATCCCAGAGCCATACTATCCAGTTATCATCACAATCAAAACCTCATCACCATCCAGTTCTCATCACAAGTATCCAGTTCTAGTTGTATCGATCGGGATACAACTCCAAGTGTCCGTTACCGTAGGACAGGCTATCGATAGATGTTTTCTTCCCTGCAGGGGTGCACCAACTTACCCACCACGCTCGATTGACTCCGGCCGGACACACTTTCCAGGGTCATGCCCGGCCTCGGCCAAACAATACGCCGCAACCCGACCTCGACTTAACAGAGAGGTCAGCACGCCGGACTAAACCTATGCCCCCAGGGGTCATGGGCCATCTCCCCGGAAACTCCTGCACGTTGCGTACGCGGCCGGTGAGCAGACCTAGCTACCTCCCTAAAAAGGCAGGAGCTTACCAGTCCAACCCGGCGCGCGCCGCTCCGTCGCTGACGTCTATTAAGCTTTGGCTGATGTATACGATGCAGAACGCCCATACTATGCCCACGTGATGGTTAGTGCTATCAGGCCAGAGGCCCCTCGGATCAAATATCCAAATCGTAGTGGATTAGGAACGCGCGGTAACAAGCAGAGCCTCACGAAAGAGGTGACCCCGTTGCCCCGTCTCGAGGACTTGCGGCAAGGGCTAAGAATGCCCGGCCACGCCTCGTAATTATCTCACGGGCACCTTCCAGGTCAACCCGTCTCCACATCACTTTCCAAGTAACAGTTGTAAAGTCCAAGTATCCGTGTGTCCAAACATCAAGAGGAAAACCCAAGGAATCACCCCCGGTGGGTTCCACTCAATGTAATCATCAAGGTGAACGTAGAGGAATCACCCTCGAGGTTCACACTTGAGGGGTTGCACGACAGAGCCGTATCGGAAGTGGTTAAGGAGGAAATCACCCTCGATGACCACGACCGAATAGCTACACTACAGGTTAACATCAGAAGTGCTGTAGAGGTCTCACCCTCGGCACTCGATAGTAACCCAGCAGTGTCGAGCAACTAAGGGGAAAGTGATGTGCGGTGCCGGGGCCTGGTCTTCAATCCCGTTGATCGGGTCTTCAATGATGAAGCAGGGGCAACAAGGACAAGGTGGGGGTCACTGATGGATCACTAACCAACCTATACTAAGCAGATTAGGATAAGCAGGTAAGGTACAATAACAGGTACAAAAGCAGGCTATGCATCAGAATAGGAGCATACAATAACAGTAGCAAAATCTAATGCAAGCATGAGAGAATGGAATGGGCGATATCGGGATGATCAAAGGGGGGGCTTGCCTGGTTGCTCTGGCAAGGAGGGGTCGTTGTCAACGACGTAGTCGATCACCGGGGCATCAGCGGCCTCGGGGCCTACCGGAGAGAAGAGGGGGAAGAAACAGTAAATACATAGCAAACAGAGGTAACACTAAGCAAGACATGACGATACGTAGCGCTAAGCGTGCTCTAACGCGGTCCTAGACGTTATAGGTGAAGGGGGAAAACAACCGGGAAGGTGTTCCCGGTTCCGGACCTGTGTCAGACAGATGACCGGAGGGGGAAAGTTCCATGTTCAGCATGCTAGGGGCATGTGTCAGATGAACGGACCGCGTATTCGGATTCGTTGGATTTTTCTGAGCAACTTTCATATAGAAAACATTTTCATCGGAGTTACGGTTTAAAAGTTACGGATTTTCA